GTTTTACGCTGGCTGTCGACTACCTAACGCAACCCTCCACTTTTCGCATCCGGGCTTGGGACCGGCAACGACAGTGTTAAATTATGAATTTGCATTTGCAAACTAAACCAGATATTCTTTGTTTTAATTATATTGTGGACATAATCTCTTTTCATGCGCAATGTGGTAGGTTTTCTTGTTAATTTAACCATTGAAAAAAAAATAAGAAGATGAATTTGCATTTCCAGACTAAACCAGATATTCTTTGTTTTAATTATGTTATGGACATAATCTCTTTTCATGTGCAATGTGGTAGGTTTTCTTGTTTCATTGAGTATTAAATTGACTTAACATTGTTTTATTTTAGTTTCTTTTTATTTCTTCATCTTTCTATCTTCATAATGGATATTTTTTCTATTTTCCCGTTCTTTTTTTGCTGTGTATGTCTCCATTTCAAATCTTGTTATTGTGATAGCCTTCTCTCTCTCTCTCTCTCTCTCTCTCTCTCTCCGTCTTCTCATGTGTAGCATTTTTTTTCTTATTTTCCTGTCTGCTTCCAAAGAGTGATGTGGATGTGAAACCATTTGTGTTATTGTGATACAAAAATCCATATAAATTAGGGCAAAATAAATTATTATTTTTCTTCAATAACATAAACAACACAGCTGGAATGCATAAAAAAAACACCTACAATTCGAGAAGTAGGCGATCACTCCCAAAGCTTAACCCTAACCCTAACACCTACAATTCATGAGGTAGGCAATCTATCTCATACCCTAAAATTAAGACCCAAGACCACAAACTCATGCATAAACCTAACCCTGAAATTATTAGCCCTTTTGTGCTAAACAATAATAATTAATAAAAGATTAAATCACTCTGAAACGCAGAAAAAATAGTACTCCCCTCCCAAAAAGACACCTTATTCAAAAGGTGGAAAAAAGAAATTGTTGCTGGATCAAGTCACGTTGTTCCCTTTATCAACTTGATTGAAATGAGTGATGAATCGTTGGCATAACCTGAATACGAGCATCAATTTGTACAATGTAAGGTTTGCTAAAATCAGACAATGCAGCACTGATACACTTGTAATGCCATTCTTTAACTTTCAAAAGCCGAGTCACTGCTTTCGCCCACTGAAAAATATCCTTCTTTCGTTTCTCTGTCAATAGCCACGATCGAATTACAATTCTTCACAAACTTTTGGTAGTATCCTGTAAGTGTCAGAAATCTACTCAACCCCTTCCAGATCTTAGGTAGTACCCACCCAAATATAGCTATCACCTTTGATGGATTCGCTTACACCAAGATTTTGCACAAACTAGAGTCACCGCGTAAAGCACCACCTTCCTCCCCTCTACCCTAATCTCTATAGTCAGGGATTTCCAATCCACCCTTATTTTTCCGGTTGACTGTAGCCATTTCATTCCCATAATCACATCAGTACTTCCAAAATCTAAAGGAAGGAAGTCCTCCACCACTTGTATGCTCTGTAGTGTCACCGCTAATACCCAAAAAATTTCCCGGCTTTTCTCCACCTTCCCTGCCCCCTTCATAATTCCAAAACATCTTGTATCTATCAACTTCAACCCCGATTGGTTCATGAGCCGATTCAAGATGAAATTGTGAGTGGCCCCACTATCCACCGACACCACTATAGGCTTTATCTCCGATCTGTCCCCTCACCTTCATGGTGTGATTTGAAGTAAATCCCACCATTGAGTTGAGTTACACCTTCGCCACATCACCGTGCAAGTGTTTCTCCCCCTCCACAGCTTCTTCCTCCAACTCCTCACCACCTACCTCCTCCCCATCACAAATTGTTAGGACTTGAAGCGTTCGATTCTTTCACCAGTGGTCTGGTGCATACTTCTCATCATATTGAAAAGACGGTCCCTTTTCTCTTTTGTCCCACACCTTTACTTCTGTGAGGCACTTGAAGTTGACCCCTAGATGGGCTTCCATCTCATTCGGTGCCTCTCTCTGAATTGACATCGTCCGACTCCTCAGTGTCAGGATCGTTGAGTTACTCATGTGGAATCCTCCAATGGTGTTGATTTTGCTGGTCTTCTCCATTTGGTATTAGTCCTCCACCATCTGGGCTAGCTCAATAATTTCTCTCAAACCCTACGATCTCAACAATCGGAGGGTTGTACATATGTTGGGCTTTAGACCTTTCATGAAATCCCCCTCCAATACTGCTTCAAACTTCCCTCTTAGTTGTCCTGACAATAATTCAAATCTCTTCCTATACTCCACGACAGCCATCTTCCGTGTTAACATAATGAATTGTTTGTGTTGGTATTCTTCCCGAATCACTAAAAAATATTCCAACAAGCAATCTTGAAATTCCTCTCACAAACGGATCGAGTATCTAACATTCCCTCACTGAAATTATGGTAGGGCTTCACTTCTAAACATAACCCCGTTGCCATAAGCTTCTCCTCTCCATTTAGTCCATTCACTGTGAAATATCGCTCTACTCGGTACATCCAACCATGATGCTAGAATCTCTACCCCAACATCCTCTCCCTTTGGTATTTCCCCCATGTGTTTAGGGTAAAACTACCTTCTTCGATCATAGTCATAGCCCATCCCGAGTTCTCTCATTTTTTCTTTGTGCTTTTTCATACCCCTTGCATAACCCCTCCATGTTTCGACACGACCCCCTATATCGAAACTCTTTAATCCACCCTTATCGGGCCTTTAGAGGGAGTTCTTGATGGTGCATGCTTTCCTACTTTATTCCTCTCGTTCGAACTTTTTGATTTTCAATTTGGCTAAGGATTATCCGGTCAACCCTTGGTTAGGGTTTATAAATTAAGCCGTTGGCGTGGGCGTAGATTGCATCTCAATAAATCTCATTAATTTCTCCAAGTTCTCGAATCAGTTGTCAATGGAGGAAAGCCTTTTGTTTATTGTTGAGAACTTTTCCTCTATCCTAGATTTAAGTTGCCCTACTTCTTCTTCCAATCTCTATTCCAAAGCATTCACTTTTCTTGCTGCCATCTCTCAACGATCTCAGGGAGTCTGAATTCGGGAATGTGTAATCTCGCTCGCCCACGATCCCTTTTTTGGCCTCTCAACTATCCCACATTGCTACTACTGTATTGTGAAACTAGGTCACAAATGTGACACTGTATGCTACGATCCTTCCAAGTTAGCTTGAATCGCATCACGGTATCAAGGCAGGAAGGTGATCCTGTCATTGACCACTAGCTCCAATCGCGACTATATCACGAATCGATTGGGTCCCTATACTTTGTTGTCTTGTGGTTCGCTTCCTTGTTCACAACGATCCTTCCTGATCACTGGCTCTGTATGCCACGATCCTTGGTTTATGTCGCAATATTTTCTTGGTTTACCAAAAATTGAGAGCTTTAATATTATTTTGATACAAAACTCCGTAGTAATTAGGGCAAAGCAAATTATTTTTCTTCAATAACAAAAACAACACAGCTGGAATACATAAAAAAAGTACCTACAATTCGAGAGATAGGTAATCTCTCCTAACCCTAACACCTACAATTCCAGAGGTGGGCGATCACTCCCAAACCCTAAACCTAAGACTCAATATCACTTACTCATCTATAAACCTAACTTTAAACCTATTAACTCTATTTATGTTAAACCATAATAAATAATAAAAGACTAATTCACTCTTAGGCGCTGGCATAACATATTGCTATATTTGTGAGGAGTAAAGTGTCAAAATAGTCCCCTGACTATTTACATGGCAATTTTCGTCTCAGAGTTTATAACTGTATTAATTTAGTCAATACTCATGAAATTAGAGCTGAAGTAGTATTCCATGATGATAGTTTTGGTTCATATCAAAAATGTCTATGGACTAAATTGACACTTTATAGACTCTGTGACTAAAATGAACCATTGCAAAGAGTCATGGGATTATTTTGACAATTTTCCTTGTTTGTGACCCAAGTTCCAACTAACATAATAAAGAATGCATATGGACCGGTTCCTATAAAAAACTACTATAGCAGGCCTATAGCTAGAAATTTTATTTGGTACAAGATATCATTAACGGCTCTTTTTCCAGGATGATGTCTTTGAGATCCGTGAACCAAATGCTGTGATTATGCGCCGGCTTGTGTTGCTTTTGTATAACTAGTCCTTAGAAGTTTCTTATTCATGTTGGGATACTTCATGTGGTTATGCCTCTACCACGTTCAGGTTCTTCTAAATCAGGAAAACCAATTACCTAAGTGATAATTAAAGATTTAGACTTCACATCGTAACTTTGTACAATCTACAGAATTTCAATCATAATCGTTTTCTCTGTATGTGTGTGTATTTATATGGAAAAGTATGTCGATTCTACGCTGAAAAAAATATTATAATTAGTATCAGAGGGATATTAATTGGAGTTCATAACTGACACTTTGAATCATTATATGGTACATAAAGGTTGGAGAATGAGTATACTTGCATTGGCATTATCTAAATGGTATAATGGTGATTTTGATATGACAGAATCTCCTCCTCTCAGCATCCAATAAAAATTCTGTGCTGAAAATTGCAGATTTCGGCTTTGCAAGGTGAGATTTATTTATGTAATTTTTTTTTATTCTTGTTGTTTGAATGTAAACTTGCCTCTTGTTCCAATGAGACTAAGATGACTTATTATTTGACATTTTGGCATAGAAATATCACATTTTAGGACCATTTTCATGCCGTTTTTTCTTGATTTACTCTTATTTGCACTGAATTTTTTCTGTCTTCTGTTTACATTATGTTTCTTGATGAAGCCTTATTTTTTTCTTTGAAGTATGCACTCAAATAAAATTTTGAATTTATTCATACATTTTCCTAATAAACATTCAAAGTCTTTGCAACACTCTTCAATCAACATGTTTAGGTCATTTGGATGCTTTGACATTTCTATAGACAATAGAGCTTTACCATATATTGTTTTCACTTTTAAAACGAACCTTGGTGTTTTTCAGAATTTAGTTAAGTGAGTTTTATTCTTAAATTGGCTCCTCCGTATACTGAAATCCCCTTTTGTACTATATAATGCTTTAAAGCTAAAGTTAAGTCACCTGTCAGGTCTTTGCAACCGCATGGTTTAGCTGAAACTTTATGTGGTTCTTTTCTATACATGACTCCAGAAATAATGCAGCTTCAAAAATATGATGCAAAGGTGACTTTTTTCTCAACTTTTAAGATTATTGACAACATTCCTTCTCAAATTAGTCTATTTCCTACTGTTGGAGGTACAGGCAGATCTCTGGAGCGTTGGTACAATTTTATTTCAGCTGGTCATGGGAAAGACTCCTTTTACTGGCAACACTCAAGTGCAGGTATCGTTGCTTGATTTACTTTTAGCATCACCAAAACTAAAAAAAAATAAAAAGGAAAAAAAAAATCATATTATTCTGATAAATCAATTATCGTTTTTGTCAGCTGCTGCAAAATATAGTAAAATCAAATGAGGTGCATTTCAAGAAGTTGCTAAGCCGAAATCCAGGTAGGCATCTCTGATATGCTGTCCACTTTATTGATCGTTGTATAACTTGAATAACCTTTGATATGCTACTAGGAAATTCTTCTAAACAAACATTGATTGACACATTTTTTGGGTTTTGGGTCATAAACTTCAGCAATTGACATCAAGCTCATTTGAACTTCATTTTTTAGCAACTCAGTTGAAATAGTGCATTCAACATGATAAATACAACGATACCTAGAATGCTTGAATCCAAGTCTAAGTGATCATAAATCAAGCACTCCTGGTTGAAATTTTCTTGAGGCCATTAAGGGGTTCAAATATGCTTCAAAATTTATATTTTTGTAGTCTAAACTCGTACATATTGAACAAGTTTGATGTCACTCAATGCCATATTCATTAATGCACTTCTATTGTAAAAATATATAGAATGTTCAAATGTAATTTATTTATCTAATGGAGTAGTCTAATTTTTGCTAGGAATGATTGGAACATACTTGAAATCTATAAATGACTTGGTTGTGAGCGCTTAAAGGAGTATTTTTAGTTGAGAGAAATTGGAGATTTGAGTGAATTCTTGAGCTCTACTCAGCATTGGCACTTGGAAGTCTACCAAGCCGATGCATGTCATCATCCATCACCCACCATCGTTGTCGTTCGCCATTGTTATTGACTCATGTTGGCTATTGATTGATTTGACATTGTCAATGCCTCCACGCGACACTCATCATTAATCAACATTGATGCTTGCCGTCGTTTAATGTTTGATAGCTAGGTCGGTCCAATGCCTTCCTTAATCGCCCAATCCTCTCCATTTAAGAAAGCAACTAGGCCGACTACTTATTTTTGCCTGTCTTATGACAGTCAACATCGATTGTCGCTCGATGCTAACTAATGGCTGACATTTGATGTCTATTAAAAATAAACAACTACAATTCTTTTTTCCTATCACTGAATCTCCTCTTTTATAAGAGAACGGTTGAGCGACCACCCATTATTTTTTAACCTTTGAAAGATGGTGTTGAGACCTGCAATGCTAAGTGGCGATGAATGTTGGCATTTAAAAGAAAAAAACATAAAACTAAGTTAAGTGTTGCCGAGATGAGAATGATTAGGTGGATGAGTGGCTTTACGCTTAAAAACAAAATGCGAAATGAATATATCCATGATAGGGTTGGTGTAGCTCCAGTGACAGACAAAATTAGAGGGAGTCGTCTTAGATGATTTGGTCACATTAAACGTCGACCATCTGATGATCCGATTAGAAGAGTAGATGTTTTAGATTTGACTTATGCTAAGAAAGGAAGAGTTAGACCTAGGTTGACTTGGGCATATTGTATAATAATGATCTTAATTTATTTGAATTAAATGAAAATATGACACTAAATAGGATGCAATGGAGGCAATGGAGGTGCAATGGAGGAAAAGGATTCATGTAGCCGACTCCACTTAGTGGGATAAAGGTTTTGTTGTTGTTGTTGTTGATGTTTTTCATCGAATATTGCCAGATCCTAGTAGGAGAACCACTACACCAATTGCACACTATTGGTCGAATTTTGATTATCTATCATTATAATTATGTGAAATAGTGTCATTTATAATCCATGACTCATAATAATTGGTCTTTTTAATTTTACAAGGACTCAGTTTTTTCCTCTTCTGCTGTTTTTAATGTAAAATTGTTCAATGTATTGTCATCAACTATTTTGTGGGTATACATGCTTTTTCACAATGCTAAAATGATAAACTCTTTTATTATCTTTGCAAATATTTCTAAAACAAGAGCTTGAAGTTGTATGTGAGGAACAAATCAAGACTTGAGGGCAACCTTGTCAACCACCTTAAAAAGACTATTTGACATTCTTTACATGATTGTTGTTGGGTGAATCCTCTCTATCAGTTGCCGTTGTATCAAGCTCACCTCACTTCACCCAAAGTAGTGTAACAAAAATGTAATGGTGGTTGTTCCTAATATTGGTTAAGTTGACTTGGGCATTTTATCTAGGTTTAATTCTCGAGGGGATTTGCTTGTGGATGTCTATGGAGTGATTGTAGTTGAAGGGGGCATTTGATCAAATCAATAGTTGTCCAAAGCTACTTGCACATTGGATAATTCTACTAGAAAATTTTGGGTGAATTCTATCTTCTACGTTTGCCATATGTCGAAGCCTGTTCTCTTCTTCTATTAGGGGAAAGATCAATCAATCACTTACCTTCATCCAACTTTTAACATCCTCAATTAATTTTTGATTGACACTAGCCAGTGATCATTGTCTTTGGGCCGTCATCCATGTTTTTTAGCCATCGACGTTTGATGCCTATGAACTATTGAAATTTGTTGTTGATCTTCTTGGCCACCTTCTATATGGAGAAAGTTGAATCAAGCATTCATCATATTCAACTTTTAACACCCTCATTGATTGCTATCCAACACCAGCCGTCTGCCAATTGTCATTTGTTTTCACAAGCTATCCATGTTTGATATCTATCAACTATTGATGTTTGATGCCTATCTACCATGAATGTCCAACGTCGTTCTTCTTTGTTACTTGATCCAGTCATATTGGAGACAAAAGTGAGCCAACCATGCATTGCCACCAAAATTTTGATGTTTTTCATTGATTGTTGCCCAATACCCACTAACAACCAACATTCATCAAAATCCCATGTGTATCTTCTTGTTCAATGGTCTCTCTTTATATCAAGAGAGTAATAAAGCTAATCACTTAATGTCACTCGACTTTTGACATTCATGGTTGACTGTTGCTTGTTGTTCGTTGCTAGCCAATGGCAGATGTCTCATGTATAGCTGTCAATATCTGGCTCTTTTATTTCTGGTAGCTTTGCCTCTACAAGGAGAATAATTTTGTTGATCGCCCACCATTGCATGCCTTTTCGACATTCTCCATTGTCATCATTGGAGGCCTACAAATGATTGATGTTTGATGTCTATTAGCCATCAATGCTTATCCTATCCTATTGATTGCTTGGTTTCCTTTCCTATCGAATGACTAGTAAGATGATTGCTCTGATTGTTTGATTTTTTATGTTCCTCTTTAATTGTCTCCTGATGCTTGCCAACGATTGATATGCATTAACTGTCGTCTTCCAATGCTCGATTTGTCAGTCTCATATCAAGCTGATTACCCTTGTTCAAATAATTACAATTTTTACATCTTAAGACTTATACCACCACAGGAGATTTTTTCCACCATTCATTTCAATTACATCGTATTAACACATTTTCCAATTTTGGGAAAGGACTCCTTTTGTAAATATTAATTCATTCTAAAATCTTTTCCAACTAGTCTAGGGCCCATTATTTTTTGTCTCTCGGGTTCTTCACATTAGAAAAACTTCTAGTTTTTTATGTGTTCTCACCTTCTTACTGTATATGTGAAATCTGCTTGCAATGCTGGGATGATAGCTCTTTTTGTACCATCATGAATATTACAATCTTAGAACCTACTTGGCTTATGAATAGTCGGTTGTGCATTTTTTTGTTGCCTATAGCTATGATTGTTTCCGCGATTTGATGCCATTTAGCTTTCCAACTGAATGCCCATGGCTTTTTTAAAAAATACTTTATAGACAATAATCATTGTTTATAGTTTTTAAATTGTTGAAAATCATGCTTTTATGCCGTTTTTAGCCGTGCTTGAACCTCATGTCCACTTATTGTCATACTACTATTTGAGTTGGCTTGTCATTCTTAACTTCCTGCATGAAAATATCTCCAGTGAGCGTGTATCTTCTGAGGAGTTCTCCAACCAACCATTTCTTTCACGACATAAATCAAATGAATTAATGATGTGAGCATCGTGCACCCATTGCTTGAGACTATTTCAAGTTAGCCAACAAAATTTCATTTCTTTAACCATCTACATCTTTGTAATCATGGGCAGATTTTGGCCATAGGTCCTCAGGAAGAAGTAATCAAGATGGCTTGCCTTTCCCTTTAGATGATGAGTCTGCATAGCGTCATGGAAGCCTGTTGGCAGCAGTGAATGGCAGCCCTGTTAAACCCACTTATGTATTTAATGTGGGAGTCCATATATGTTCTACTGATTCCTCCAAATTCAGTGCTCCGACAGAATCTAGCTCTGCTAACAAAATGGAAACGTCTTATGGATATGATTCCTGTGAACTCCCAAGCCAAAGTACGAAGGGAACAAGTCTGGATGCCATGGATGCTAAACAGAGTACATCTTTTCCTTTTTGATATCCAATACATTGTTTTCTAGATATCAATTGATGTTTCTAACTTTTTCTTTAACACATTCATAGATCCCAAAATTGTCGATTCACTAGACTTGGTTGATCAGGATTATGTCATTATGTCTAGAGCCCCCTTAGAGATGTCATCTTCTTTATTAAGCTTCTCTGAGTCGCACCACTCTACCTGCAAATCAGATAACTCGCTGGCAGCATCTGGAAATTGTGCATTAAGTGCACCAATGTCGATAGTCGGAGTTCCAATCAATAAGATCCACGCTATGGGAAGCCTGGAATGTCTCAGCTATCCACAAGGATCCATGGATTTTGGGGATACTATCGAACAAACATCAGCTCACTGCATTACATGGATTAGATTGTTGCAAAAATGCAGTTTTGTAATGACCGAGTTGCTGAAGGGCGAGGTAAGACCCATGATTGAATCAATATGATATTTGAAGCATGTGATTTCTATTTAATTGTAGAAGAAAATGAAATTTAATGTTGTATGTATTATAAATGTTTCTCCTACGTATGATAATATTTAGAATTGGGCAATGAGAAGTTCAACTTTTCCAATGAACAAACCTGTACTCTTGCTGCTATGGGTTGTTAATATTTGTTTACTAGAACATAAATTAAGAAGCTTGACATCCACATTAACAGGCTTGAGCTTTGTCTCTCTTGTTTATTTATGTTTTTGAATAATTTCTCTGTTGCGTAACAAATAGTTTAATAAGAAGTTTAGAAAGTACTCATTTGATGTTGTTCATTAGCTTAATTTTTAATTTAATATTATTTATATACAGATAATGGGGCTATAAATTCTGCATATTAGCATCTAACTTATATGATGCAATTCTAGGGCTCTGAGAAGGTATTTGGAAAGCAGGTTTCATAATGAGATAATTGTAGGATAGTGATGGAACAAAAATATGCAATTTCGAATATGTTTAGATAAGCGTCGTTCTACGGCTGTCCCGACGAGAAACAACAGGCCGGGCGAAAAAACAAGCTGCGGGCGACGAGGTTCACCACCGTTCTCGAGCAAGATTCACACGTCACTTGCAAAAAGGAAAAGATAAAGCATTCAAGGTAAAAAACATAGATTACAATCTCTATAAACTCAAATGAAGCAAAAAATCTCATCAACCAAAAAATTAGATAACTTATAAATAGTTTCTCAATAGCAAATAATTTAATTAGAAATTAGAGAAAAAGGAAAAATTTTGAAAATAAAATTAGCTAGAGCGGGTGGTGTGTCGGTTGTGCGATCGCAGTAGGGTTTGCTATTTTATAGAATTGTGGATTCCTTGGTGTCGCGATATTCATGCGATTGGGATTAGGATTCAACATTCTATGTCACATATAATCGGGATCGTGTTATCGCGATTTGGGTGTTCCACATCATTTTGTCGGGTTAGGAGTTTCATCTTTTTACCAGGAAGCTTCTAGAATTGACATACCATCATAACAAAATCATTGCACTATTGTGGCTGGGGAGCTCCGCTACATTGCTTATGCTCCACGACACCCTTTTTTTAAGGCCACTGCCTTTATGGCATGCTTACCTTTCTGGGTAACTGTTTCCACGACACACCCACCCTTTAGGTCGCTACCTTCATGGGTAGCCCACCCTTCCGGGTCACTATCTCCACGATATACCCATTTTGGGTCGTAGCCCATGACACGCTTATCCTTTCGGGCCACTGCCTCTACAACACATCCATCCTTTGGGCCATTGCCTCCACAACACACCCCTTCAGGTCAGTGTCTCCACGACACATCCATTTCCATCCACGACACACTCTTCCCGGTCACTACTTCCACGACACACCCACCCTCTGGACCCTCGCCTCCATGACACACCTTTTCTTGTGTCGCCGCCTTCATAGCACGCTAACCCTTCCGAGTTAATGCCTCCATGACATACCCATTCCTCGGGTTGTAGCCTCTATGACATGCCCACCCTTCCGGGTCACTTCCTTCATGACACCCATTTATTGGGCTGTTGCCTCCACGACACACCCAACCTTCAGGTCATTGACATGCCTAAAAATTATCTACTTTTTCATATATATTTTATGCTCAATTTTAATAATTTTTAATGATATTACGCTTTAAGGGAATATATTTTGCATATTTTTGGTTGCAAGTACGATAAATGTGCTTCAGGTACTAGGAATAGAATTTTAGAGAAAATGAAGCAAAAATGATGCAATTTGGATTAAAAACAAGCAAGAAAGATAATTCTGACTTGACACATTTCAATATGTCTTTCTATGTTTAATCTACTTTACATTTCTCATATATTTTTAAAATAAAATTACACTTTAAATAGATGTTGTTTCCATGCTTATTTTGTGGTATATCTGTTATGAGCGAAACACAACTGAAACGGGGCGAAACAGAGCCAAACGGAGCAAAACTGTGGAGCTGCTGCAGTGTGGCGCTTGAGGCAACAAAATCCAGAGAGCTGACACCTGAAGTGCCAGAGACGATATAAGACGGATTAAGGCGGCTCAGGACGAATTTTGAGCGGATTTTGATGGCTCCTTTTTGAAGGCTTCAAACAATTCAAACGTCTTATGGAGTGATTCAATGCATCTAGACATTTTGGAAGACTCTTTAATGAAGGGACATGTCTCTTGAATGAATGGATATGTCTTTTGGGATTCAAAAGGTGTGACTTTTGGAGAGAAATTGAGAGAGAATTTTGAATTCTTTTTGAAAGAAGGTAGCCGCTAATCAAAAAGGAGAGGATTTTAGGGCATGAGTGTGGCGTGAGAGTGAGAGGAAGACTTTGGAGAAGATATAATTTTCTTCTAGGGTTGTAAGAGGAGAGGGAAGATGAGAGTGTTCTTTTTCATTACATTTCTAGGAGAGAATTGAGTGTGATTGTAAAGAGAAAAAGTGCTTAAAGGGAGCTTCTAGAGATTTGCTTGGGAAGAAGTGTGAAATAAGTTGTGTTCTTTTCTTTTTTTGTTTTGTAAACTTGTTTTTATATATGAATTTGTGTTTTGTGGTATCCTTCTCAAGAATTCTGAGTAGTCTTCTGTATCATTTTCCTTACAATTAGATTTGTTTTTGCGAAGAATTGATTTTGTTTTATTCGGTTTTAAATATTAATAAATTGTGATGATTTGAACTTTGATCTTCATTTATTTTTCGATTTGATTAATTGAAAGGTTAAAATTTGTTGAGAAACATAATATCTGAAAGGGCTATGCGATCCCGATTTTCTATATAGATAGATGTAAAATGCAATATATGCAATTAATTTTCTTAATTGATATTCTTAATTTGCAACAAAGCTAAAAACTTGATCTAAAGCAAAAGTTTGGTAAATCTTTCACTATGAAACAAATAAGAATGCAGTTATAATATTTCAATATGGGATACTACACAAGTATACATATCGTTATCAAGTAATATAAAACTTTTTGATTAAGTCCCGAATATCGATCCCATAGGGAGGACTACTTTTAGATAACAAAATTTACTTAGCAATATATTCTTACTTAAACTTAAGATGCTAAAATAGGAATGAAAGTTCAATTCTTTTTTGTAATTTTTGATAATTGAAAATAAAGTAAGCAACTAATTAACTTAACTAAAATAATTGCAAGATGAAGACAATATTAATAAAATATTTTTTTTTCTTATTATGAATCAGTGATAAATATAGAAATTATGTTGTGAAAATATGCTAAATATGCTGTGTCAAATAGGAGTAATAATATTCTTTACCCTTACTAGAGATGCAATAAAGAACATTGATTAATCTATAGTTTTAATAATCTTGAAGACCGGCTAGGTAGGAAAGATATTAGCTCTCACTCTAGAGTTCCTTCTTCTCCCTCTATCTGGGGGCTAACATCTCGTATCAAAACCTAAAACTATCAATCAAATTGGGTGTTTTAGCCTGTCACTCTAAAGTCCTCTAATTCTATACAATTTAAATATATTTCGCTATTTATTTGCACTCAACCCCATGAACTACATTCTCATTCATGAAATAAATATGCCATTCCAACTATTTGTTGACTGAGATAATATCATCTCAGATCTTACATGTTCTCACAAATCGAGAAATAAATGAAGTACAAGATTTCAAATCACCACAACTTCTTCCAACATTGAAGTCTGATACTTCACACAACTTTCTTTAAATATTTAATCACTTATCATTTTATGAAAAAAGATAAAGAAAACTATCAGAATTCATGGAGAAAACACAACCACACATGGGTTTAAAAGTAAAAATCACGCACACAAATAAGAAATCCAAATTAAAATCAAGTGTAGACGCAAAGATAAACTCTTATATCAAATTCTCTCTACTAAATGTCTTGACGTTCCTTTGAATTCTATTCCTTCTCTCACAATACAAACTAAAACTCAAAATAAAATAAAATAAAATAAAGGTGTTTGGCGATGGCGGTGGGCTGTAAAGTTTAGTTTGATGGATGGCTGGCCTCTGGAGGTTGGCTTTGATGATCCAAGTCTTCTTTAATAAAAATCCAAAAGGTGTCTTGGTGTTTCTTAAAAAAGGTGTCTCCATTTAATGAATCGTCTAGAAGTTGCCTCCTCATAAGCCAATTGAATGAATTTTTGTGTCTATGGGCTATTTCCCACTTTTTTTTATCAAGGGTTGCTTCAAACACCTCTTCAAAAATTCACTCCAATTAAATATATCATCAAGTAACTACTTCTGGCGCTTAAGCGCGGGGTATCTGACGCTTAGGAGCGGGGTCTCTCGCATTTAGGCGTCAAACTGGGCGCTTAGGCGCCCAGTTCATTTTTGCTCCAAATTTGACCAATTTTCACTCATATTAGCATTTTTCATTCATTTTGCAAGAAAAACACACAAATATCTTTCATTAAAGCGCAATATTTAAAAAATATGTATAAAAATGTGTATAAAAACATTATATATTTTAAGCGTACCACTATGCTTTCTACAACGAGGTAAGAGTCACATTCAATCTAATGAGTGAGAATGTAATCCATGGGGTTAAGTGCAAATAAATAGAAAAATGTACTTTGTTAAATGCAGAATTGAAGATTTTAAGGTTATAAATTAAAATCCCTAATTTGGTTCCGTTGATTGGAAACTAATGCGAGATTGTTAGCCGTCAGACATGGGAGAAGTGAGAGCTATGGAGTGAGAGTCGGTATTCTCCCAACCTAACCACGAAATTAAGGACCAAACTCTGGATTAGTCAATGTTTGGGATTATTCCTATTTGACACAATACAATTTTATATATAATTTTAAATGATTTTAATTACTTCACTAATCATGTACTCATTGTAAAGAAGAAGGATGCTTTCTTAACTTTAAACTCATCATCACAAAACTTTGTTTAGTCTTAGTAAATTTAACTTTAAAGTTTAGAAATTAGATTAGTAAACTTAGTTCTTTTAGTTACATTTCTGTTAGCATTCATTAAACCCATTTTAACTTGTCTTTCTTACTTTAATTTTTATAGTTTGAATATTATGATTTATGTTATTACCATAAGAATTTTCATTTTCCAAACTAAGACTTGATAGTAGTAGACTAGAATCAGCCTAAGAGATTTCTTACTATGCTTCTCTATGGGATAAATACTGGGATTTTTATAGAAAGTCTTATTTTACTTGAAGTGATATATGCA